GCCCGACTCCACACACACACACACACACACACACACACACACACACACACACACACACACAGGAAGCCCATCTGCTTGAGTGACCTGTAGTAATTAGTTATTAATCTTCCCATGAGACAGAGCTGAGCTAGAATACATTAACACGCTTACTGACACACAACAACACCCACACGGGGCGAGATGGGAAACCTACTGGGGCTTATGGGTAGACAGACAGAGACGAAGGGGCGGAGCATGTCAGGGACGGATGATGATGTAATGTAGACTGTTTGAACAAGTCATTACTAAATATGTGAGGCTTGTCAATACAAAACACACTGCCATGTTGACAGAGCGTTGCTATGCAGCTGCTTAAGTGTTCTGGGTGACTATTACTAGGGTGGTGTTAGTGGTTGCTATGCAGCTGCTTAAGTGTTCTGGGTGACTGATGCTAGGGTGGGGTTAGTGGTTGCTAGGGGGTTGCTATGCAGTTGCTTAAGTGCTCTGGGTGACTGTTGTTAGGGTGTCATTGCTAGAGTGGTGTTAGTGGTTGCTAGGGCGTTGCTATGCATTTGCTAAAGTGTTCTGGATGACTGTTGCTAGGGTGGGGTTAGTGGTTGCTAGGGTATTGCTATGCAGTTGCTAAAGTATTCTGGGTGACTGTTGCTAGCGTGGTGTTAGTGGTTGCTAGGGCGTTGCTATGCAGTTGCTAAAGTGCTCTGGGTGACTGTTGTTAGGGTATCATTGCTAGCATGGTGTTAGTGGTTGCTAGGGCTTTGCGTATATTAATAAAATGTTCCGGGTGACTGCTCAGGTCTTGCTAAGTGGTTGCTAGGGTGGTATTAGTTGTTGCTAGGTTGTGGCTATGTGTTTGTTAGGTGTCTAGTGTTTTCACAGTTGCTAAGGTGTAAGGTGTTTTTTTAGCACACTGGTATGCGGTTGCTAGCATGTTGTGGCTGGTTGCCAGGTTATACAGTGTTTTTAGCATACTAGCACACGTTCGCTCTAATGTTGTGAATGGTTGCCAAGTCTTTGCTCTGCATTCCGGTTGCAGTTTTTATGCAGTGTTGGTAAGTTTATTTCATTGCTATGCGGTCGCTAGGGTGTTCTGGCTGGTTGCTGCAAGAGTTACACACTTTAATACTCAGCGTTTAGGGGTTTGATCACATTATTTTGAGCCGTGTGTTTATTTGTTTACTGTCCTTTTGAGAAATCGGACTATGAATGTGTGTGTGGAGGTTTGGAGCTGTGATGCACATACACACACACGCACGCACGCACACACACACACACACACACACACTCACACACACACGCACACACACACACACACACACACACTCACACACACACGCACACACACACACACACACACACACTCACACACACACGCACACACACACACACACACACACACTCACACACACACGCACACACACACACACACACACACACTCACACACACACGCACACACACACACACACACACACACTCACACACACACGCACACACACACACACACACACACACACACACACATCTGGACGTGACATCAGATGGCAGTAATTTCTGATACTCACCTCACATGGCTGCTGACAGAAAAAAACAGCATGACATTATCCTGGAGAACTACAACCGGCTTCAGTTAACAAATACACATTTTATGCATTTAAAAATGCATCTAGTCATATCTGCATACATGCAAAAATCAAAGCACAGACACAGCATGATGTGAACCTTTTCATAATATGTTATACAAGAAAATCTATCAAATCCAAAGCTCTTCTCAGATCAAACGGACTGAAAATACTTCTAAACACGCCAAAATACACACATTTTTGTATTTATTAAATTGATTGTATATAAAATTTCATTTCAATTTCTGTCAACAGCCTTCATCATTTCACGGGTGAGTTTAATGAAAACCGCAGGAAAATTATTTACTTCAAATTGCAAGAAATTATATTCTGCACAAAGAAAATGAAGCTGATTATTTTATAACAATCATATTCTCATTACTCGAATGCACCTGGATATTCTCTTTAGATTTTTTTTATTAAAATCAACAAAGTCACAAAACATAATTGATTTTGCATCAAAATAATGAGATTTGGGGTGAATTGAATGAAAACAATGTCAAAGTGAAAAAAAATAAAATGTTTTTTTTTCATGCATTCTGCATTTTTCCTTTTGCAGTCCTAATTCTTTTTAGATTACTGTAAATAATAGATTTATTTTAAAAAATATATTTTTCTTCATGCATTATTTTTTTTTTAGCTCATATTATTTTCTTCAGATTACTGTACATAATGGATTTTTAAAATTAAAATCAACAAATAAATGACTGCAATCTGTAAATACTGCACAATCTAATTGATTTTGCATTCAAAAATGATATTTAAGTTGAAAATGTTGTAAAATACTGACTCGGGGCAAACACAAAACTTAATTTTCTTCATGCATTCTTCATTTTTTGCAGCTCTCATTATTCTCTTTAAAATATTATTAATAACAGATTTTAAATTTTTCACTCAAGGCAGTACAACCAATGTAATTATGATGCACTGCAAAATCTAATTGATTTTGCATTAAAGTAATGAGAACCGGGGTGAAGTGATATGAAAATAATGTCACAGTGCAAACAAAACACCTAATATGCTTCATGCATTCTTAATTTTTCCTTTTCAAGATTTTATTATTCTCTTTAGATTGCTGTAAATAATAGACTTTATTTCAATTACCAAATTAAAGGCAAAACTACATTCTGTAAATCTGTAAATAATGCCAAATCTAACTGATTTTGTGAACAGTGAACTGCCACTGTGCAAACAAAAAAAAGTCAGTTTTCTTCATGCATTCCTCATTTTTCTTCTACTGTAAATCTTTTTATTTTTCAAATAAAATCAACAAATTAAAAGCACTTTACATCAAAGTAAAGGTTCTTAAATAATGCCACAGTGCAAAAAAATCAAACATTTTTCTTCATGCAAAATATAAATTCTTCCTTTTTTTTTGGGTTGAGATCTGACCTGCACGTGTTCTTGATAGTGCTTGTATAAATAGCAACATAAGAGCGCTGTCATCTTTCCATGTTTGCATGGTTTTTTCCACGTTTACAGGCTTGTAAAGCAGCGGGTGTTTTTCCGGAGATGATGACTGATGTGCCGTTGTGCGCGGTGCTGGTCTGGAAGTGCAGGTGCGCGTTCACATCATAATGAGCGGGAAATCCACGCAGGTTTTCCGGCCGCAGCGAGCGTGTGTGGCCGTCGAGAGACAGTTTGTCCGACCCGGGACTGCTCAGACCGGACAGTGACACCGGACTCCCGTTCATGTCGTCCCGGCACAGGATGAGGCGGTCCGAGGCCATGCGGTTCCCCGGCGTCCAGTAATCACTCATGCGGCTGTCCTCCACCTTAATCAGCTCCTGTTTGGCTCCCATCAGGCTTTCGGACTCCCGCGGGCTCACGTGAAACGCCCTGTTGCCATGGCAACCGTCTCCCGAATCGCCCGACGAGCCCGGAGAACTGTCCGCGCGCTCGTCGTCCCAACGAGCTGCCAATGAGATTTGATTTCACAGCGTTATGCGCGTGCTGAAACTCCCAGAGGACTGATTATGAAGTTCTGCGTTTGAGTATTTATAAATGCTTAAATGTTGATATTTTTAGCCTATTATCCGCATGTTAGATTTTAAAGGCGCCTTCAGTAATAGTTTACAATTAAAGATAGTACATGAAAAAACATGCTTAAGTATAAATACTTACTTTATTTAGGGAACAATGACTAAATTTGGCCCAGATGACATCAGCACAACAGAGTAAGTTGTTTTGATGAAAGACTGTGATTATTTTCACAATAAGAATGTATTAAAGTAAATACAGTCGTCTAATATTTTTGTTGTTGTTGTTTTGAAAGATATGAACACTTTTATTCATCAAGGATGCATTAAATTGATCAAAAGTGACAGTAAAGACATTTATAACGTTACAGTAGATTTCCATTCATCAAGGAATCCTGAAAAATAAATTGATTTTTATAATTATGCTTAACTAAAACGGACACCATAAAAAAACATTTTCATTACTTGAAATAAAATGCTAACATGAAAATGCTGAAATAAATTATTTATAAACTTTTGATTCCAGATTTCTATAAATTTCTCTATATTTTTATATACATGTATAAAACTACTAAGACACTCATAACTAAATTACTAAAACTTTAACTAAAATTAAAAAACTGAAGATCATGTGACACTGAAGACTGGAGTAATGATGCTGAAAATACAGCTTTGATCGGAGAAATAAATTACAGTTTAACATAGATTCACATAGAAAACAACTATTTTAAATTCTAATAATATTTACAATTTTTACTGCATTTTTGATCAAATAAATGCAGCTTTGATGAGCAGGAGAGACTTCTTTCAGAAACATCCTAATTATTCCAAACACATAAATGGTTGTAAATCAGAGTTTCAACAAAAACACAAACTGTTCTCAACATTGCTAATAATCAGAAATGTTTGTTGAGCAGCAAATCAGCATATTAGAATGATTTCTGAAGATCGTGTGACTCACCGTGAGTTTGATGGTACGTTCTGCCGTCAAACGCTCCTCCGTTGTGTTGAGTTGCTTTAGTAAGCGACGGGACGAGTCGTGTGGCATCCCACCATCCCTCTCTCCCTCTCTGATCACACAGCTGTGTGTGTGTAGCGTGTGCGTGTGTTTGAGCACATGTGTGCACCGCGTCATCCTGAGAGAGAGCGTAACACAGCGAGCCGCACGCATCACTGTGATCCAGTCGCGGCGGGGAGGCGGAGTCTGTCAGAGGGCTGCCGCCCCATTGGCTGTCGCGCTCGGAATCTGAGCACTCGGGCTGAAAGGACAAGAACTGCTGAAATAAACAGAACAGGAAGTGAGGAGAGAAAACCCTCGAAAGTACATTCCACATGGATTTATTATTATTATTAAAGCAATAAGCCTAACAACGCCCCTTAGCTGTTATAAATCCACTGTAAACCATGGCTTCATGGGGATTATTGCTTTTATAAAACGGTTATTCCATATACGTAGTAAGGTTTCACAAAATAAAACAGAGCAAATAAAGTGTAAAGATATTAATAAAAACAGTATTCTTCCACCAAACAATGTAGCTCCTCAGAAACAGTTGTGGTTGCTACAAAGTGGTTGCCGAGCAACACACAAACGTAAACAAAGGTGTATGTTACTTTGTAGAGTCATTTACAACAGCTTCGAACGCAGCTCAGCCAATCAGAATCAAGCACCGGAACTATCCGTTTTATAATATTTTTTTTCATCCTAAAACTTAAAGGTGAAATCGTTCATTATCCAGTGAGATCCAGTTGACATGATATATATATATATATATATAAATAAAAATATAAAAACTTACTTTATTTCAGTTAGTTTCAAAGGCAACATTTCTCATTTTCATTTAGCTTAACTTAACATAACTAAAAAATAACTAAAACTAAACCTGAAATAAAAACTAATAAAAAGTTTGTAGACATAAAAAAAAAGCTAAAAACACAAAACTCTGACAATTCAAAATATGGAAAAAAAAAAAAAAAACTGTAGTAGTATCTTAATGATACTATTTATTTATTTTTTTTACAGAAATGTATACTTTTATTCAGCAAGGACTCATTTGATCAAAAGTGACAGTAAAGACATTAACTACATTATAGTTAACATGAAATAACCTTGAAAATACATCTAATGTTAATTTTAGCATTTACTAACACATTAATTCAAATCGAAAGTTGCATCTGTTATATTATTTAATGGACCTGAAGTAAAGCTGAACAAAAATTAAACAGTTATTTTTAACTGTAATACTATTTCATAATATTAATGTTTTTACTGTATTTTTAAGCAAATAAATGCAGCCTTGGTGAGCATAACTCAAACGATAGTGTGTATAAAGAGAGAAAGAAAGAAAGAACCAGCGAAGATAATATGGTGAGTGACAATTGTGACTAAAAACTAATATATTTAACATCTAAAATATACATTTGATCCAATATGCATTTGAGCCTATATGTGACCCTGGAGCACAAAAGCAGTCTTAAGTCGCTGGGGTATATTTGTAGCAATAGCCAACAATACATTGTATGGGTCAAAATTATACATTTCTCTTTTATGCCAAAAATCATTAGGATATTAAATAAAGATCATGTTCCATGAAGATATTTTGTAAATTTCCTACCGTAAATATATCAAAACTTAATTATTGATTAGTAATATGCATTGCTAAGAACTTCATTTGAACAACTTTAAAGATGATTTTCTCAATATTTAGATTTTTTTGCACCCTCAGATTCCAGATTTTCAAATAGTTGTATCTCAGCCAAATATTGTCCTATCCTAACAAACCATACATCAATGGAAAGCTTATTTATTCAGCTTTATTCAGATGATGCACAAATCTCAATTTAGAAAAATGGACCCTTCTGACTGGTTTAGTGCTCCAGGGTCACACATGAGACTGAAGGGCTTTCAGAGCAACGGTTAGAGCTGAGTGAAGTCAGTGTGACACCTGAGAGTAAGGAGAAACCAGGATCTTCCTCCTGCTGCTTGGAGTTTTGTCCTCCGGCTCATGCTGGTTTCTGTAGGGGAACGCAGGTTTGCTGGGCTTCAGCTGGTCCAGAGACAGCGCCATGCCTTTATACTCTGTGTCCCTAAACACACACAACAGCACATTATTACAGTAAATATGACGTCTGAGCGTGACATTCACTGCCGTAGTTCACCCTCATGATGCTTTTGGGTCATTATGACATAACAATTTCTAGAAAACCCATAGTTTTTAGTACAGGAAAGAAATTTAGCATATGGATTAGGGTTATCAAAATACACATCATATATTTTTTTCAGATTTTTAAAAATGATTTTTTTAAGAGATATAACACCTTTCATATTCGGGCCATTTTTGACCCAGAAGTAACCTGTGGCTTTTCAGACTGGTCTGATTCTGATCTTTTCTAACGGATTAGACTTACGATTTTCGTCAAACGGACGATCAAAACTACGAAAAGTCCCATAGACATTCATTGAGAGGCTTTTGTACAGTACTATTATAGAGTGTTTAAGCTGTCTATAACTAGCAAAGCTTAATGACTAACATAGACAACATGCTAAAGCATGCAAGCTGCATGCTAATTCATGATAGCAATGTGCTAATCATATTAGCGAACATGAAATATCATGCTAGCAACGTATTAAAACACATTAGCCACATGCTAATCATGCTAACAACATGCTAATTATGCTAACAGCAAGCTAATCATGATAGAAATGTGCTAACAACATGTTAACCATGACAGCAATATGCTAATTCATGCTAGCAATGTGCTAATCATGTTATCAACATGAAATATCATGCTATCAACATATTAAAACACGTTAGCAACATGTTAGCCACATGCTAATCATGCTAACAACATGCTAATTATGCTAGCAGCACGCTAATCATGATAGAAACGTGCCACCAACATGCTAACCATGATAGCAACATGTTAATTCATGCTAGTAGTGTGTTAATCATGTTAGCAACATGAAATATGTTAGCAACATATTAGCCACATGCTAGTCATGCTAACAACATGCTAATTATGGAAACAGCACACTAATCATGCTAGAAATGTGCTAATAACATGCTAATCAAGTTTGAAACATGTTAGCAACATGCTAATAATGCTAAAACATGCTAAATCATGCTAGCTACGCGCATCTATTTAAACTTTCTCAAGCCAACCTCAAGCTTTTTTCACAAGCTTTACTCATCTAGTTCTATTAGTTTTTTTTCATATATTACTTACATTTGTCTCAAATTAAATGTAAAATACAAATTTGAATATGCACCGATAGACAGACGAAAGATACATTTATTTCATTTTGATGTTGTTTTGTTAGAAATAAATGTGTACGTTTCATAAATTTGTACTCTTTTGAGCAATTAAAAGACCAGTTTTATTCAACTCCATTCATTCCAATACAGTTATTACTGGTAATTCTCAGTTTAAATGTTCTTATAAATTGCATATAATTATATATTCAAATAAAATTTCTTATGAATATTGAAAAAAAATTTGTATTTTTTTTGCTGTAATTCTTGTAAAATTTGAAATAATTTCTTAATTTTTTTTAATTCAAAAGTGTCCTGCGGATGCGAAAGCTGTTGTTTGAGGAGGCTTAACCAGTTCGTACGGCTCTTCCAGCGATCGCCACCCTTAAACTCGAGTCCTGCGACACAAAGGAAAGCTTGTGAAATTATTTCACAGCTGTGAACAGTTTTGTGTTCGTCTCCTTTGACCCGCAGACGTCTGTCCTCTGAACTACTGAACTCACTCAGACACTCTGCTCTTATCAGGAAAATCCCCCTGAAACGCTGTACGCTTGTGTCATGAGCCGCAGGTTTTCCATCATGAGGTGAGATTGTGCGGTGAGCTTTTATTGTTTGTGTCTGACAGCGCACCGTAAACGAGAGACTTAAAGGCAATTAAACAAACATAACAGTGGTGCATTTGACTCGTCTGAAAAATTCAGCTTTGCATCAAAGGTATAAATTACGTGTAAAAATATATTTAAATAAAAAAAAACAGTTATTTAAAATTGTAAATATTTTTATTGTATTTTACTGTTTTTATTGTATTTTTATTTTTTTTTGGTATTTATTTTAAACAGGCTGAGTGAGCAGAAGAGACAAAACCATTAAAAAAAGCTTACCAACCCCAAACTTTTAAATAAATACATA